TGAGTGAAAGTAAAAGAAAATCTAAAATTACCCACCACCCATTGCCCTCTGAAAAACATAAAGTTGTCCAATCCAAAGAATGTCTTCCCACAAAGAAATAAGGATACTTCAGTGAAATTGTCATAGTCTTGGAAATAAACTTAGCAACCTCAAACTGCATATATACTCAAACAAACCACATATTGTATGTCTCTCTGAAACATGGCTTTCACCAAACTTTGAGCCAACCTTCATCAATTATAGTGCTGTCTATAAGCATAGAGATGCTCAAAAGGCTGGAGGAGGGCTTGCTGTGCTTATCCAAAGTGATGTAACCTACTTGGATCACGATTTGCAACTTTTTCCCCAGGGCTTCTTGGAAGTATGTGGTATAAAAATTTACTTGAAAAATAGCAATGTGCCATTTTCAATATTAAATCTGTATAACCCCAACAAAAATGTCACACAACAAGAATTTGATCACTATTTTTCACAGCTAGAGCCCTCATGTCTTGTTGTAGGGGATTTCAACACCCACAGTCCAGCTTGGGAGCAAGGCAAAACTCCAAACCCAAGAGGAAGAAACCTAAAAAATGTCCTGCTGAACAACACCAGATTAGCGTCACTAACTCCACCATCACTTCCTACATATTACAGTGTCTATCACAACTCTTTTTCTACCCTTGACTTCTCAATAATCTCAACTGACCTTCTGCCACTAGCTTCTGTGTACACAGAGAACGATATTGGAAGTGATCACTACCCAGTTGTCACCTGTGTTGGTGTTGAGGCCTCTACAGTGAGGACAGAGCGCGACCATCCTGGATGTTTGAGGGTGGTTCATGGGGTGCATGGCTGACTGCTCTGCATCAGAAGGGTACAGCTCCTTCTGCAGACATTGAGGTTAGTGCTACCAATTTCACTGAAAACATTGTGTCAGCTAGCATCCAGGTATTTCCCCAGTCCAAGGCAACAGTAACCCCCAAGTATAATAAATCCTGGTGGACACAGAGCTGCGCTCAAGCTGTTCTAGACAAGAGAGCTGCTAAGAGAGCTCTAATTTCTAATCCATCTCCTACAAACCTTATTGCCTTCAAGAGGAGTGAAGCTAGAGTGAAATGGGAGGTCAAGCAGGCAAAACAGAACTCATGGAGGAAGTACTGCAGCACCATCACCTCCAACACCCCAATATCTCAACTGTAGAAAAAAGTAAAGCGTCTTCGTACACCATCTGTCAGAAGGCCTCAACCTTTCATCTTACAAGACTCCATTGTAACTGACTCCCTTAGTAAGGCACAAGCACTTTCTCTCCACTATTAAAAAATTTTCAAGTGTCCAGCCCCTTCTCCCTACCCTTCACTGGTTGTCCTTCCCCTGGCCTTGGCTCTGAGTGATGAATCTGAATCACCATTGAATGAGCCTTTTTCTTCCTACGAGCTACAAAATACTATCAAGTTGCTAAAAAATACATCTCCAGGATTGGATTGCATCCATAATGCTCACCTTTCTCACTTGCCAGAGGACTATAGGAGGTGGCTCCTCAGTATTTTCAACCAAAGTCTCAGCTCTGCCTCAATACCAAAAGTGTGGAAATTGGCCTTAATAGTTCCTATCCCCAAACCAGCTAAAAACTTGACTTCTGTTGCATCTTACAGACCAATATCACTCTTGTCATGCTTGGGAAAATTGCTAGAGTCGCTAATAAACAAACAACTGTGCTTCCACCTAGAACAACATGGCTCCCTCTGACCTTCACAGGGAGGGTTCCGGCGCCGCCTAGCAGCAGTCAATCTGGTTGCCAGGTTGTAGGCTGCAATCCATGCTGCTCTTGCCACCTGCTACCAGGTCAACCCTCCTGGTGGTGTTCTGTGACCTATCAAATGCATTTGACTGTGTGGCATACAGGCCTGCTCTACAAACTCAGCCAGTGTGGGGTTCGGGGTGAAACCTCTGCTACCAGAGGCATTAAATCAGGAGTTCCCCAGGGTGCTATCCTCTCACCGCTCTTGTTTAATGTGATAATGAGGGATTTTCCATCGGTGCTGGGAGTGAATGTGGCAGACTATGCTGATGATGTAACCTTTTTTACAAGCAGCCATGACATCACTGCAGCCACTGGGAAGATGCAATCACAGTTGAGGGCCTTCTATAGTTGGACTAAGCAGTGGGGCCTGACCCTTAACCTTGCTAAAACAAAATGCATGTTATTCACCAATAAACAAGCCACTGCAGTGCCTTTGATGGTAGACGGCTGCATACTAGAGTTTGTCAACCAATACAGGTACCTGGGAGTTGTCTTGGATGCCCCTCGACTCTGATAGGGAACCACAAATAAATTCACTAAAGCTAAACTGCATCCCAATCATAAACTTGCTGCAATGTATCTCAAGCAGGCACTGGGATGCCGATCGAGCTGTATTAATTAAGTTTTACAAAGTTCTGATTAGAAGTCGATTAGACTATGCAGCAGCTTTCTATGGGTCGGCAGCTCAATCAAATTTCTCAAAGCACAACATTATCCAAAACCACTGTCTATGCATAGCCCTGGGCTGCTGAAAGACAACCCCTGTCTCCTCTATGGAGGTAGAGGCTAACATTCCTCCCCTAACCTTTCACCGCAAAAAAAATAATGTGTAAATATTATCTTCGCCTGATACAGCTGCCCCAAGGTCCTATCGTGTCTGAGCTGTTCAACCCAAATGTGCCACATATCATGCCACAGAGAACCAACTTATTGCCCAGTTTTGTCCCCCATACAGGGGCAATCTTGACCTCACTACTAATCCATGTCCCTCCTCTGCTTACCTCTCCTTTAATCTCCCTTATCCCCCATGGTTCAATTCTGATGATTTCTTCACTGTGGATTTTTCTCCCTCAACAGTATTGGACATGTCCTCAGAAGCTGCTGTTCAAATTTTCTCAAAATAAGTTGATTTCAAATATCCTAGGCACACAGCTATTTTCACAGATGGTTCCCACATAGCCACTCCAAACAACTCTACTTCTGCTGCATTTTCCATACCCTCCAAAGGGGTACTACTAAGTCGGAAACTCTGCCCTGAAATTCAGGCAATAGAGTCAGAATTGTTTGCAATAAAGGAAGCATTATATTGGTCACAAATGAACCTCCTCCACTCTGAGAATATTGTCATTTTTACTGATTCACAATCATCAATTTGCTTGATTAGAAATAGGCAACCTGAATCCTACCTTAGTTTAATATTTGATATGCAAAATAAAATCATGTCACTATTGCCCTCCCATGAGGTGCGAATTCAGTATATTCCTGGTCACCTGGGAATTTCGGCAACGAGGCTGTTGATCGGGCAGCCAGGGATGCTCACCAGCTTGGTTACTGTACTCTCACCCCCAGCTTAAGGGAAGAAATGGCAAGATTAGTGCATGATGGAATTCTGGCCAGTTGGAATCAGTCATGGATTGTGGAGGTAAATACATCAGGGAAGGGTCGTTTCTTAACTTTGGTTAAAGACAGGGTAGGTGAATGGCCATGGGCCTCTCATAGCAACCAAGCCATTGAAACAGCTCTTACTAGGCTTCGCACTGGACATGCTGGTGTGAGAGCTCATTTGGCCCGTTTTGAGCTTGTAAATAGTCCCCTGTGCTCCTGTGGTTCCCCAGAGACCATCCAACACTTATTGCTACAGTGTCCTCTGCACCAATTTAACCAACCTGCTAACCAATCCTAATATTCCTGTAACTCTTAAAAATATACTTGTAGGTGGCCCCTACCCCTGCTTGATCCAGAACTTAATAATTGATGCAGTTGGTGCATACTTGATTGCTCTGGGTGTTTTGCATGCCTTATGAATTAACTTCCATAATATTATAATCCCAGATCTCAGTAGTAAAACTAACCATACTAAAATGTGTGGGGAACTAACACTATCAGAATATTCACTTAATCCCAGCACTATTATAAGTGCTTAATTTGAGACAAGCGGTACCAGTCTATGTAGGTTGTTAGGATTAGTACGGTATGGTGTTAAGTAGGACCAGAATATTGTTAGGATCAGTATCTGTTATCAATTTAATGTACCAAGACTGCCATTGTAAGGACTGTTACTGCTTGCCTGTAAATCAGTTTTCAAATATTGCTCCTTCAGAGAAAGCCCACAGGAGTTATGTTTTCTTTTCTGTACACAGCACAGCGGCTACTTAACAGTCACAATTTGTTAAACAACTTGATCTTAAGAAGCTCCATGTTGCGCCCCCCCCCCCAGGCTGGACCTTCAGTAGCTTGTGCATACTACTCATGTGAGGCTCAGTTCAGGGCATGGATATTGCAACTAACTGGGCTTGGAATTTTATTTTATTTATTTACTTTCTTACTGTTGATTCCTTCCCATTTTTTTTTTGTGCATATATTCTTTTTTTAATATTTCTATTTCACGTAATTTAGTATTAAGACACTGCTTGAAACCCTTGATTTCATGAATAATATTATTATTACAAAAGATCTTTTGCAGCCCCGTATTTCGCGTCTCTGCCGTGTTTTGCGGCTCTGTCGTGTTTCGCTGCTCTGTTGTGTTCCACGGCCCTGCAGTGTTCCACGGCTCCACTGTGGAGTGTTCTCTTCAACAGGTGCTAGTTAGAGTTCGAGTCAGGCAGGCAGCTTGAGTTAGGCCGGATTTTTAACGATTAATGATAAAGAGCCAATTAATTAAAGTGATCAATTGAAGTACGTAATTAAAGTGATTGAAGTGATTAATTAATGTGATTAACAATTATAACTCAAAACCTGGTCATGGGGCCGCATTGGACTGGTCTCCAGAGGCCCCTGCAAATTTGAGAAAAAAAAACCTGCTAAAGCACATCACTCGACTCAAGATTAGGAGCTTGAAAGTTGAAACCTTTGATATATTATTTTTAATGCTTGTTGACAATGTTTATAGAATTATAGTGCTGTTCACCCAACTTTTGGTCTGATAAGGGCATATTAAATTTGATTAAAACCTTCTTGCACCAACTGACCAACATAACCAACTCTTTTCTTTTGCTTACTGATACAGAAATGCGATTAGCTATGAATTTTTCTGAAAGTTGAACAACTCGCAAGTCTTAGTTTGAACTCAACTTACTACTCAATAACCTTTATTATGAGTTGTATTGTACGTAGATATCATTCATGATAGTAAAATACCTTGTGTGACATGGCCACAAATGAACCTTTAAACCCAGCCAGGCCTGTAGAGAGTGAAAGCCCGGGTGGTGCTGAACCTGGCCCTAGTAAAAAACCCGACAAAGATTCCAAAGATGACAAAGGAGGCAATGAGAAGAAAGATGATCAAGAAAAATCTAGTGGAAGCTTTGAATGTAATATTTGTTTAGACACTGCCAAAGATGCAGTGGTATCTGTTTGTGGTCATTTATTTTGGTGAGTTGTAAATCTACTATGGTGAGAAATCTTATTTATATTTTAGTAAACTTTTTATAGGGTGATATAGGTAATGTTAGAGTATAACTTCTCAACTCTTATTAGGGCAGCAAGACTGATGATAAAGACTAAAGTGCAGTCTGCAGTGTGAAGATACCATTCTTAACAAAGTTACAAACTTACAAGCAGACAGTTACATTCTGGAATAGTGGGCCATACTTTTTTAAATCAATGGTGAAAAAGCTTGTTGATTTTTATGAATTACAGATATAAATTTAATGTTTTTAGTATTTAAAAAAATCAGTCTGTCAAAGACAGTAAAACTATTGGAAGAGTTAAAATTAATTACAATTCCGTTGTAATTAATTCTGGGAAGAGAAGTCCTTATGGCCTCTTGGTCATGCGCTCTGGCAAGTGCCAATTTGCTGCGTTCTCAACCTATTACTTTCACTACCGTAAAATCACTAGGCAAGGCCCCTTGCCACAGTATAAACCCAGCAGCCAGTGCACTTACATTCACTGAATCCTGTTCAGAATGAATAATCTGACCCTGTAGACTCATCACACCTCCCCCTAGACATAGGTGTAGTTTTGAAATTGATTTAAATAAAAAATTATGAAGATTAGAACTGTGAAGTTTTTAAATTACTTTCATTGATTCCAAAGTGCCACCAATGACAGAACTGAAAAAATGGCGAATTCATGTGATGACTTTGTACGTTTTCTTTGAAAGTTTTCATTTCTTGTGATGAATTTCACTTGCAACAAAGCATGGAAATATGGGGATACAACTTTTATGATAAATTTTAGCCTGAACATGTGGGCAAAATTAGCAATTAATAATTCAAGGTACTTATGTACTAAACAATGGACCATCCATTAAAATGGATCACCTTGGTTAAAAATGGGTGGGGCAGCATTGACAGCAAGCTGCACCAGCAGCTGCGGAAGCTCGTGAAGTCAAGAATTTTGAAGGCAAAAGGCCTCCGTGAAGTGGGGTTTCAAGTCCTTAGGAGCCTAATTCAGCCCAAAAGATATTAAACATTTATGTTTCTGCATGGATTTCAATGCTGTGAAAAAGATGAATATGTGTGCCCATGCTGCATGCTGGTATGACACAATTCATTCCCACAAGATGCTAGTTGTCTCCTTTGATAATTTAGTCTGTCAAGTTATGGTGCACTTGGTGAAAGTTGATTATTTGAGTGAGTCAAAAAGGATTTCCTCTGGAATTTATATTAATTTTTTGCCAAAGAGAAGAAATAATTAAGTTTGCACAGACATGTTGGCTGGGTCTATGGACCAATTTATGATCACAGTACGGAGCATTGCTTGGATAATGTGATGAAAAAGAGTGGAAAAGAGAATCAAATTATAGAGAGAAAGATTGCAGGCTGAAGGTGTGGAAGCAAGGAATGGAAGGAAATGACACTCTAAAACTGTGTATATCAGATGGAAGCAATGCAAAAATATGAATATGTGTGATGGGAGCAGAGGTGGAGAGTGGAGACCTATTTTGTATTAGGGCAGGGTATCTGGGTGTGAATGGACGTGCATACAGGTGGAATGAGAGGAGGAGGGCAATTGTATTATGTGTGATGGAAATGAGAAGGAAACTGTGGAGAAAAAGCTGCATACATGAGAGAGAGCTACAGTCTTTGATGGGGGTACCTATCGTTGAATGAGGGAAGTGAGATCAATGAAGAGAAGTAAATATGAGAGAACAAGTGAAGAGCGGATGGCAATGAATGTGGGCGGGATGTTGACATTTATAACTGAATGCTTTAGTCTATTAGGACTGTTGTAAGTACTTTTGATGCTTTAGTCTATTGGGACTGTTGTAAGTACTTTTGAATTTTTTTACTAAGCTGCCAAGTGCAATGCAAACTTTGATTTTTTTATGTTATTAGATGATTTTAATGCAACATGAATGACCAATCTAAATGTCTTGTGACACCACACAAATATCAATCAATATCAACATAGACTTTTACAGCCCTCTACCTAGGTATGCTTTCATCTGCTCAGACAACCAGAAACTCTGTTTTAGAGAAAGACCACTGTTGAAATCTGTTTTGAATGGCATCTATATTTTATGATGAATTTACAGTCTTTAATGCATGTGAATTATCAATGAAGTTTATTAAAAAATGTTACTGATCTGTTTCTATTTTGTTTAACGCTTGGAAGGTTAGAAAAATTCCCTATTAAATTGTCTAAAAATCTTAAAAGTTTATGAGTTCTCTGTTAGATTGTAATTTTTTTTCACTTCCAAGTCTAAACTCAGCTAAGCCAAACTGATTTTGAAATTGTAAATTTTATGGAAACATGGTCACAAAATAGTTCTTACACTTAGTGGGAATTAAATGACAACACTTGTCAAAATATCAAAATTTTTAATGTAGAATTTTAACAATAATAATTAGCAAGCCCCATTTTTCAGCTGGCCATGTCTTCACCAATGGCTAGAACTCCGGCCCAACAACAAGACCTGCCCGGTGTGCAAAGCTGCCATCTCCCGAGACAAAGTCATCCCCCTGTACGGGCGTGGTGCAGACTCCTCCAGTGACCCAAGGTGTGTCTCGTTATTGAACGAAGCTATTTGTTTGGTAGTACTAAATGAACAGGGCCCTCAGAGTACCGGGTAGGTATAATAATAGTGTCATTTAGAACACATGTGTATTGCATATTACATTAAAGTAGTTATTTGCATTTATTGTGTATATATTTTTATATTAATCTTCAGTAGGTTGAAACATGAGGTCAAGGGGATTAAATTCTAAGTAACTGAGTGGAATTGTTTCTGATTAAAAATATGAAAAAGTCATACAAGCCATAACTTATTTTTTTTCATTTCACTTACGTGTGTGGGCAAATTAATTTTGCTACAACTCTGTGTACGGTATATATATATATATATATATAGTCAGATGGGGTAAGACAGGACCAAAATCACTAACAAGCCTGTAGCATCTATACCATGAATAACTAAAAAACCCTAAACCTATCACAAGGTGTAGTTATGCAATGGGCTTCTAAGCTACAACTCAGACATTTTGCATCTAACATAGTTTTCTGTACAGATTAAAAAAAGTGAGCTGGTCCCATCTTACCCCATTGGGGTAAGATGGGACCAACTGGTAATTCTTATGTTACAAGGTTTTTAATAAAAGTACAAATCTGATATTCAATATTATCCATCTAGAAACACATTATTTGATTAAACAACCACTTGTTACTGTTTTGTGTGATGGGAAGTCAACTCTAATATCAGTCACATTGAAGTTTTTGTCATGAGAAAACTTCGTTAAGCATAGTAATAGTGGGTTGGCTTTGGTTCATTGTAGAGCACTGCTAAATGCTTCATGTATATTCCTTTAGTGTCATTGTCTGAAAAATTGATCAAATTGGTAATAAAACCAATGGATAATAACTTAAGTGTCAGACATCATGTGTTTTCTTGCTAACTGCATTGGTGGTGCACTTCTTCAAACATAGCTCATGCCCTCTCACAGAGTTGTGATCATAATTATTTTTCATGTTTCACACAGTGATTTTTCCCCAGCCAATCTTGCACGGTAGTTCTGCAGCTCACTAATGGGAATAGACATCCCAATTTTCTATATCCCTTTGATGCAATTTGAAATAGTGCACCAAATTTCTCCAATTAAAAAAGCTAACAAGTTATAATGAAGTTTGAGCAAAAGATAAAAATTTTGGCCAAAATACTCCATGTACTACACAATAATATATTCATTTAAAAACTATTTTTGATAAACTGTAGGGTAATAAAGGACCATTTGTGGGTAAGACAGGACCATTTGTGGGTAAGACAGGACCATTTGTGGGGTAAGATAGGACCACTTGTGTGGTAAAACAGGATCATTTAGTGGTCCCGTCTTACCCCATGTCCGATCCTTTTTTACCCCATTTTAGAATACATGTCAGGCAGTGATGGTAGCAGGTAGGAATGTCTAGTATGTCTAAAAAGTTGCCTATTACTTGAGGTTACCTGCCTACATCCACAAAACTGGCCAAAAAATTTTTTGTCACTAGACAGAGCTTATTTCCCAAACAAGGTTAACTATTTTGTGACCCTTCTTAACATAGGTTTTTTTAAAAATTAGTCAGAAATTCATTATTTGCAGAAGAGGGTTGCCACAAACACTGAAATGACCGGCAATGATTGTTCTAACATATTCCTTTGTCAAATTGAATTCAGTGCAATTAGAATGCACGCCATGGGCTGGTCTTTTCTTACCCCATGAAGGCTGCGATCCTGTCTTACCCCATTTGACTATATACTACATCCATTTAGTAGGATACACATTTAGCATGGACATTAGGTATACTTGATTCATTTAGTTTACTGCAGAGAAGACAGATTTTAACGTAATGAAGTTACTAATACAAGCTAATGAGTATAATATATTCGTTTCACTCCTCAATATGCCAACAGTGAAATTTATTTTCCAGAAATAAAGCGCCTCCTAGACCAGCTGGCCAGAGGACGGAGCCTGAGCCCCAACATTCATTTATGAATGGCTTTGGGTTTGGGGGAGATGGGGCTGGAGGAGCTGGTGGTAATTTCCAGTTCCATTTTGGCATCGGAGCTTTTCCATTTGGCTTCTTCACTCTCATGAACAATGGCCTCAATCTTGGGAACAACGCTCAGATGCCTCCTGGTGAGCAGGGCTGGGGTTTGTCTAATCTCATACCAGGCATAATTACCAGCTTTGCTATCATGTCTGCATGTTGAGTTTCTGTTGATTGCTATTGGTGTTTAGATTGTGCTCTAGAGTTTTACTTGATGTGAATTTATACCGTATGGTATGTACTTTTGTTTACATTTAGGTAAGGATGATTCATTTAGCATGAATCTTGCAGCTCCAAAAAAATCAGGAAACCTCTTGTAGTGGTAGCTTAGAAAGTCAATATACCGTATATAGTACCATAATACATTGTGAGTTTTTATTAAGTTGCTGCAAATAACGTTATTGTAGGAGTCAAAGCTGGTCTGCTGCTCTGTGGATAATCTCAATTGTGACTTTTTTTCATTTTATTCTGCTCTCCTGCTCCTCAAATTATCTTATTAAGTTTATTTCCTCGTTTATTTAAATTTTTTCCAAACCATAAAATCACCTTCTAGGTTTGACAACACGATTATACTTAATAATAATTTATTATTTCAGTGAACTGGAAAATACCACTGAAGGATTTAAATTTCATATTAGGAATATAGGTATATACAGTCCACTGCATTCAATAAACTTTGGTGTTTTTTCTGTACAAGATGTTGCTCGTAGTACCAGATATTTACCTAGGTCTATGTATCTTATGCCCAAAGTTTTTGATGAAGGACCAATAATTGTGGATACCATTCTTTATCATATTCAATCGCTGGTACATTGTTATGAATGATTTCAGACAGAAATGGGTACCTATTATTTCTTCAGAGCATGGGATCTGAGATATAATGATGAGTTTCTGAGCACAGTGGTGATACACACGCACACAGTATCAAATTTGAAAATCAGTAGCTTATCCAGGAAAAAATATTATCAATAGGCAGAATACTTGTGCAATTTTTATCTAAAGAGGGACTGCAGTGTTTAAAAGAGCAATGTAATTTTTATCTAAAGAGGGAATGCAGTGTTTAAAAGAGCAAAGTGCAGGCTTGTCCTGCTCTCTAGTGCCTCACAATAGGTAGGATAGTCTGCTAGTGCCTCACAATAGGTAGGTCATATTCGGCTAGTGTAAGCTTGTCCTGCTCTCTAGTGCCTCACAATAGGCAGGTCATATTCGGCTAGTGCAGGCTCTCTTTATCACCAAGCTGTCTCACAATAGGCTTGTCATATTCGGTCGTCGATCACGTTTCCTTAACATTTCAATCAAGTTATTCCTCACCACGTGGATTTCGCGCACCTAAAAATGTGCACGTGAAACACTAAAGAAATCCCGCCATGTTGATAATAATGTATCTGGAAACACGACGGCTGTCCATGTATTATATTTCCGTGTCTGTACCGGTATTGATCAAATCTGCATAAATTACCTAATTATTGAAGTATTTACAGTGCGCTTTGACCAGCAGCGTGTGATGATCAGGAACGTAGGCGTTGATCTTGTTTTAAACTAATATTCTCAACGTTCTGGTTTTATGTTTTGTGAAGTGAACTTGAAGCGGACGATTGTTTCACTATGGCGGCGTTACTATTTTACTGAGTTGTTTTATTTGCAATGTTTACGTTCAAATCATATTTAAAAACTTACCATTTAACTCCTTTGAATGAGAGCAATATTTACCATTACGAGATAGAAGTTGGTATGGGCATTTCATAAGTAAATTATTGAGTGTCGAGGGAATTGCTGTAGCTGGCAGCCTTATATGTAAAATATATTCAAATTTTAATGAGCATTTACTATGCATATCATGACTTCTCTTTGTTATCTGTGAGCTTATCGGTTTACTAACACTGCTTGTCAGTGAAGACGCTCGGTGTGCCAACTTGTATGGTCAAAAATTATATATTAAATTATTATATCACCTACCCTTTAATAATGATAATATATAATTCTGTATATTATCCTTATATAAAAGGCAATATTGCCCATATTGATATTAGTTGGTTGAATTTGCTTGTTTAAACACGTGCAATCAATGACCATTGAATTCATTGATTTAAACTCGACTCGATGAAAATTGAAATCCATGTTTCTCAGGTCATTACTCGCACATGTATTTCGCATTTGTGTATTTATTGCTCTGTTACATATATTCTCTGTTGTTATGAATGAGGTAGGCCAGACATAAATTTCTGATTAAACACGATATGAATTACCGTGTTATGCTCGTGCAGGTCAGAGTGAAGACGACGTGTTCTTGTCGCGGGTCTTCATGGGTATGGCGATATTCTTCGTCCTGTGGCTCATATTCATCTAGCCCTCAACCTGGCGCCCACTAACCTTCGTCATCAACGAACTGAAGAGACTCTACTAAACTTAAATTGCCAGCAAAATATCAGCCATGAACTTCAAGTAATATCACGTCAATGTTTATATAAACCGATGTAGCTCTCTCATCGAAGAGGCAGTTCAATATTGTTGCTACGAGTGTCGTTAAAGAACGTTGTTGAAGAAATGGATGACGTACGTAATGATCGGCAACTGACGTGACATGCTGGCCCAGGGATTACAATACTGTAGCAAATTATTTGGTTACAATTTGCCATTTTGCGCTCAGGATTCGAACGAAATTTATCTCTAGTTCATTTGGTCGATGCGAAATGCTCCTCACAAACACAGATAGTAAAGCAAATCTACTCGTTTGCAAACATTATTCTTGTGAAGTCCCGTTACTTTAGAACTCCTTTTTTTGATTCCTGTGTCCAGTGTGTCTTGTAAAGCCTATTCCCGTAAGCTATTGTATTTATTGGACTTTGTATTGTATTAGGTGGAATCATAATGTGAACTTTTAATGTGTGGTGTTGAATCATTCCAATTTTATCATGCAGTTGTAGATCCCTCTGCCTTCATATCCATAGACAGCTTACTTTTTTGTAGTAATGCGTTAATACTGCGACATAAATTCTGGTATCGGCTAGTGAACTTGGTATGTAGTAGCTATCTGGGCTTGACAGCCAAATAGTTGCTACATAGTGTAGGTAGGTATTTCTTTACTAAATTCGAATCGAGGTGTATAGTGTACATTACTTTTGTAACAATGCGAACGATTCATGAGAATATGATTCTATATGATTTAATCATTTTTATTTGGTTGCAATGTTCCACTGTCAAACACTTGGAATGAGTAGGTATTTATCATATCATGATGCCCAAAACTGTATCGAAAATTATTTAATTCCGAGCAAGCTAGTGTGGTCGCTTGGATTCCATTGCACCTGTGATTTCTGCAATAGTAATTGTCAGCACTTTTGTTCGTTCAGTGTTAATTTGTGTAGTGAGAATATGTTCACCACATCCACATTATCCTCGCCCTGGGAAACCCTAGTATCGCTTCGCAAAGTCGGATATTGACCATCATAAGCTATTATATTAATAATTATTTGACTGCATCCTTGTAGTTTGTTTTCCCAGATGAATATTTTATTATTTTCATGAGGCTGTCTACGGCTTGGTAAGGCCAGTGGCAGAGGTGCTTTAGGATTGAACTAACCTGCATATTATGTTCACTTTGTCGTGGCCTATAGAGCGTTTGCTAAGCTCATACCTGTTTCAATTCCTTCTGCACTTTATCTGTTCAGGTTTCATGTGTTTACTAATGGTTTCTTTGTATATACCTATAACTTTATCCAAATTTCGGATACATCATTGCAAATTTTACTAAATGTGTGAATAAATTTATAGCATACAAAATAATAGAAATCATTATACTTATGGTGTATCATATCTTAACTTCCTTAACCCATACGCAGTATGTATAGATGATCGGTATAGGCTTTATGCCTCCCAGACGCCACGCTTCATTTTGTTGATTTAATGTCAGTCCATCAGAGGAATTTTGTTGATTTAATGTCAGTCCATCAGAGGAATCTGAATCAGCTTGGAAATATAGCAGTGGTCGTTATTCCGTGACAATTATTCAGCGGGAAGACGAAACTCTGAGAATTCTGCAATTCGAAGAAAAAACTACATTTCTGCGACACCTGATTAACGTCATGTAAACATCGTGAACATCCTTCAATATCCATAAAATATATCCATGGTTTATGATAAACACGGCGCGGAATCCCAAGAATTGGGTTTACTGGCATTAACTTTTTGGAGCATTTTCTCATTTATGGTAAAAATGCGCTTTCGTGCTCGTCATGTCAGTCCATGACCACGTTTTCTTCGACCAGAAAATGCGCTCTCTGTCACTCACTGCAGTGAGTACTGAGATGTATTTTTTAAGGGTTTGACTTGATGAATATAATAAAGTTTCCCAAATAATAGATGTACTTGAAATCACTCGGGTTGATCTTGAACACACATTGCTGTTTCCTCACGCCATGTTTCGACTACAGAGCTGATTATACTTCAGCTGCAGAGTAGGTTCTACTACAGTGGCTTCTAGGTTCTACTCAGCGGCTCTAAAAACTTTTGTAGAAGGGTAGGTGAAATTCTTAGAAAAATCTACTATATGTGGAAAAAATTCTATGTGTGGAATTCTAATCCCTGAAATTTTTTTCGTTGATCCAGTTTACACATAATATTCTTCAGTTTTATTTAAGAGCATCAATAAAAATAGTAGCTTCTTACAGGAATTTTACGCTTATATTCTGAAGACCAGGGTTTTTAGTTTCCTTCTACTTCCGGGCTTCACTTGTTAACTCCCGGATTTTGTCAGGATTTGTAAATACGAACCTGAGTGAAAAATCCACCATGGATTCCTATTCCCAGAATCCTGCTTGGCGTTTACAGGTCAAAAATGCTCTTCGAGTTTCGGTTTTTGCATTTATTTCAGCAACGCGCGAGCGTTTCTGCGATCCGTATATCAGTTCTGTAGCATAGCGAAGATTGGCATGTACTAAACGCTTCAGCTCAACGTTTGCAGAAGAATTTTTGCTTGCAATCTCAAAAAGAACCAACTGGAATACTGGATTCTACAGACGATACGGCATGGGGAAAGAGAAGAACGGTATGCATAGAATGTCGAAATGCATGGCTTCACAGATGTTTTACTCCATTCTTGCGAGAAAAATTAGGGAATGATATATTTTTTTAATCAATAAGGTTAACAGTACAACGAAACCGTTAATAGATAAAGAAAAAACATCTGAGCCGAATTGGCAAGACTTTTTCTAGGGAACGATGTGAATTGTTTGGTCTTGATTTGGATGATGTTTGTGACGTATGTAAGAAAAATAGGTTTATTTTCACGGTAGTCCGGTATTGAGAATATAAATGGTATATAATATTTTATGGAAAGCAAATATTCTATGATCTCTGGTCAAGTTCAAGCACCCGAACGTTTAATCATCCAAGTTATGTTACATTTTGTTAAACCGCATAATGATTGTCGTTGATATCTGCATTGTTAAAGACATGTAGTATAGTATCTTCGGCATTAAAGAATAGGCCTGGATAGGCCTGTCGCCGATTCTTGTACTTTTCTTGACTAGACTGGCCTTTTGATCAGATCTTTTCAACGGACGGTAGATTGAAAATCGCTTCTAGATATCATATGTTCCGTAGGGTACGAAGCATTTTAAGACTAAACATATGCTCATGCATGGCCTTGTCTAGTCTGTTCTTGGACGCGTTCATACTCGGAGCGTCAACAATATCTTCAGGGAGGCTGTTCCACATGTCAGTGACTCGAAGCGAGAAGAAATGTTGTCGCGTGGATAAGTTGCACCGCAGTTTTTTAGTTTATAGCTGTGCCCCTGGTGTTGGTTCTTGTTTCAAATTTTAGTAATCCTTCTGGGACCTTGTACAACCCATGAGTATACTTGTATACTTCAATGAGGTCACTGCGCAGGCGACGATAACGGAGACTGGGAAGCTTAATAATCTTCAATCTTTCTTCATAAGACTTGCCCTTTAATCCTGGGATTATCCTTGTTGCACGTCTTTAAAGTGAGTGAATAACGCCCATCTTTGCAACAGGTGAGTCGGTGGGCGTTGACCGGCAACATACATGGAGTTGATACCAGAATAGCTTGGATACACACTCATGAAAACGAATGGGTAATATTGTCCAAACAGCCACACACTGGCTTACCCACAGTACGAACAATCGAGTTCAGAAGACCTCATCCCTTGTTGAATCAAGTCACGAAAAGTACAAGAATCGGTAACAGGCCATGGGCCTATTTCTTCAGTGCCGACACTTCTATTCTCTTTTAACAGAGAGCGGAAGTAGAATTGAATTTTGCCGGGCCAAACTGGAAAAGGATGACACACAAAAGGACACAATGTGCAGTTCTATTTGGACAACGTCATGCGCATTTATCATTATTATTATTATTATTATTAATTATTTTACAAAGCAGTAATCTTGGCGTCAGGTTCAAACGAACTTCGATGGCACGTTACACAAAAGTGTAATCATTACCCTGGGTGTTGACCGATAAGTTAGAATAAAATAATGATCATCGTAGCAGCCGAGGTACTTGCCTTATGACCTTATGATGAGTTTAGGACCTCGTAGTCCAAGGTCACGCTGATGCGCCGCCTTCAACGTTTATTTTCCCGCCGCCTTCGGTGTGCACGTTTATTTTTCGTTCATGGAGGTAGATCCTGCCTCAATATTTTCCACAATATCTTAGGATTTCGATATTCTAGGATATTCTTAGGATATTTATCCATAGAGCAAAATTCAGGAGGGGGTTATAAATTAACTAGTGCATATATATAGGATCTAAAATCTGTAACTAAATTTTTATTATATTTTTTAGCTAGAATTTCGGTACTGATCAAGTGACAAGGTTAAATTTATCTTGAAAATATCAATCACAATTTCTAAAGTTCTACTTTGTTTATTCGATATATTTGGATTTAAATGTGTTGCTGGGAGTAAATTTTTTTCACAAGTGTCATCGTCCGTAGTGATCATAATAGTGAACTCCCGAATTCATTTATATCAACATCACATATGTCATATGTGCAGTTGAATTCTACACATATACATATGTGTACATATGTGTATGTGTAGCAACAAATATATGCAATATATTCACTCCATTGAATTCTTACGGAGGCTATCAAGTACTACATTACGGAATGCAATATGGAGGCAGTTAGATGATGCTTCTGTGGATGATGTCTCAGCCGTGTTGCGGTTAGGTTTTTCGTGGTTCGTTTCATTGCTCTTCCATTCACAGAAAATAAATTTCGACAGTTTTCAATTTTCCTGTGCTTTTTTTCATTTATAGCTGGCTAAAGTCCAGTATTGGGTCTGTTTTCTTCAGAATCCCGTTCGGTATTTCACATTCAAAAATGCACGACAACTTTAAACTTTTGGCATTCAATTATTCCGTGCGACGTGCGCGTGTTTCCGCGTTCCGGATCCAAGTTTTGTAGCCGATATGGATTTTGCGAGTACGATGAAGGCAGCAGCTCGGACTAAAAAAATTTTTTTTCCTCCTTCCCAAAAAGAATGTCAATGATAATACGGTTAAATAAAGAGAAGAGCGATTTGCCAAGATATTCAACGTGAATGGATGTTCAGAAGACGCTCTCTTCCTTCAACCTGTGACGATTTGGTGGCAATTAACAGTGCAATGAATGATGATTACTGCATCAACAAGGGGATAGTTCACTACAATAATAATAGCGGTTTCAGCGTTTATTAGGCCGTAGGCCTGTCGCCGATTCTTAACATCGCAGAACATTCACAGCTTGTTGCGGTCTCAAACGCCTAACTCACTGCTTCAATTTTGCTGTGCTTAACGGCCCGGCCTCCTTGCCGATTCTGACCAGAAACTGGCGCACAGAGCTGGGATCGAACCCGCGCCTCTCTGCTCCAATCTTGGTAATCTGAACTGTAAGCACTGGGCCACCCTGCTCCTTATTCATGGGGGGAGCTAAGCAAATACGCGCATGCAGGGAAGTTCCTTAGCTGAAGAGACTGATGACTTATTCCATTCATGCGAGGTCCAACGTTGAAATCATTTTCTGCTCTAATTCTAAATTTCTCCAGAGAAAGAACATCCACGAGTTTTCATCTTACCGACTGTCTGGAACCTCACGTTGTCCCGAGAGTACGACCTACGGTTTGAGCCCATAGCCTGTATGTAGTAGTGTAGCTCGGACTAGCCTACCTGCCTAATTCAGTCAATCTAAAGGAGGCTTATTATCCACAATGAATTCAAGTTGCCTCACTTATCTGTGTGTTGTGTTTTTGTCCGGTCTCTCTCGTGTGGATAAACTTTTTCATAACTGTGGATGACTTTAAGAACCTAAGTACAATTCATTCCTCTGATAAATCATCTGTTCAACCTCCATCATCCGCCACACCAACAAATAAAATTAGCACTGATCGTGCTGAGTCTGTAAATTTCTTAAAGGTTGTGCAATGTGCATGCATGAAATTTACTGGGCGTGGTAAGTGGTAACAGTTGTATTTTCTTTCATCCCTTTTGTTGAGCTCCAATATCATTGCTGACAGCAAGCGTCTTTTGCTGGAAGGCAAACGCTGGAAGCATCGAGCTAACACAGTAATTTTTTCATTGGGAATTTTTACCTTCATTTGGAACAAAAATGATTAGACATTCATTATAATACAACCTAAAAATTTCAATTACTTATCCATACTCCCCCGGCAATCCTTGATGATTGATGATACAAAAAATTTGATGAAAAGAACCTAGCATATAACAAAAAAATTAAAGATATAATCAAGAACATTAATGACATTTGTTTCATTATCTTTGCTGAATCCTTATTGAA